ATCCCACGTTGAAGCTGCAGGAAGAAATATTTATCTGCCGGTAAATCAACGTGAAGCCATAATAATTATGCCTTTTGGGGATAAGAAATGTGTAATGTCAAAATTCATGACATCAAGAAAACATAATGCAAGAGAAGACTAAACAGGACTAAAATCTTCTGAGGCTGTTGTATTGTTTAGAAACAGTAAAAAGTGCATATTTGTAAAATGTATCTGATGCTTGAAGTGTGCATGTTGTAATTTCCATGGTATCCACTACGAGTAAAGTAAAAAATGTGTGCCTAACAAGCTAAAAGAAGAGAAAAAGTGGAATAATAAAAAATACTTGATTAAGCCAAAAGAAGACAAGAAAGGAGAGGGGAGAAAAAGAGGGCAGACAGGACAAATACAAAACAAATAATAAAAGACTAGATTTAAACCCAAATATATAAGTAATTGTATTAAAGATGTAGCCACACTGAAATTCCCTAATTAAATGACAAAAACTGTCAGGCTAGATTTTTTAAAAACCTTAAATATACGCTACTTACAAAAGACTTTCTTTAAATAAAGCTACAGAAAACAATCAAAGTAAAAGGACAGAAAAAAGCAATAATATATGATTTGTATTGGGTTTTTGTTTCATTTTTAAAAAAATATATTTTATTGATTTCAGAGAGAGGAAAGGAGAGGGAGAGAGACAGAGATACAAACATCAATGATGAGAGAGTCACTGACCGGCTGCCTCCTGCACGCCCCCGACCGGGGATCGGGCCCGCAACCCGGGCGTGTGCCCTGACCAGGAATCGAACCCCGATCGCCTGGATCCCAGGTTGACACTCAACTGCTGAGCCACGCCTGGCCGGGCTCATTTTGGTTTTTAAATAGCTTTGGTTAAGTCCCAGTAACTTCTAAGAGCTATCCCACTGCTTTGCTGCTGCTCCCAAATGCTCATGCCCTGGAAAGGGAAGAATAGGTGTAATTCTAGCAGGTTGTGTACAGTTTAGATATTGAAAGAACAGAGTACTGAAAAGTTCAGCCCATACATAAGATAGAGTCCAGTGGGTGAATGGATAAGTGTAGTACATCCAGACTATGAAATATTATTCAGTGCTAAAAACAAATGAGCTATCAGGTCATGAAAGACTAGAGGAAACTCAGAGGCATATTACTAAGTGAAAGAAGCCAATCTGAAAAGGCTATGGACTCTATGGTTCCAACTATTGGACATTCTGAAAAAGGGAAAACTATGAAGACGATAAAAAGATTAGTGATTATCAGGGGTGGATTAGGGGAAAAGACATTTTTAAGGCAGTAAAAATATTCCGTATGGTATTAGAATGATGAATATGTGTCATTATACATTTGTTCAAACCCACAGAATGTTCACCCACAGAATGTTCAACACCAAGAATGAACCCTGCGATAAACCACAGGCTTTGGATGATTATAATATATCAGTGTAGATTCATCCTTGGTAAAAAAAAAAAAAAAAAAAAATATATATATATATATATATATATATACACACACACACACATACACGCCATTCTGGAGGGTTATATTGATAATGGAGGAGTCTATGNTTTAAAAAAAAAAAAAAAAATATATATATATATATATATATATATACACACACACACACATACACGCCATTCTGGAGGGTTATATTGATAATGGAGGAGTCTATGTATGTGAGGAGCTGGGGGTATGTGGGAAATCTCTACCTCCCTCTCAATTTTGTTTAAAACCTAAAACTGCTATTTAAAAAAACAACAAAAAGTCAGTTTTAAAAAGAACTCAAAGAACAAACAGTACACCAAAAAGTGGATTTCACTCTATAATTTTTTTAGTATTAAAAAAAATTTAATGAAAAAGTCAGACTCTGAATGTGTTTAATTTAAAAATGGCTAGTAGGATACCACGGTTAATAATGGACCAGCTGTTCTGGACAGAGGTCACTGAAAAGCACGCTGGGGCTAATCCTTCGAGTGGAACATAACATAGGTACTTACTCTCAGGCTCATGAATAGGAACAAACACGAACCACTTTTAAACACACAGTCACTTTTACACATTAAGAGTCCATTAGCACCTAGGGCAAAGTCTCAAACCCCCAGCAGTCCCACAATACACAAAGAACACAAATCCATCATAAGATGGGAAGAATCAGTCTCAATTATGCCCCCTGCATTCTGATTCTCTTGTTTGACTCAACAAATCTCAGAGATAAACTACGAACCTATGGTTACATACTGTGCGGTTAGTAAGATCTGCCAGCCAGAAATCCATGCTTGTTGGCTATTAGAGTCCAAGCTGGATCCAGAATGTCACGGAACAATGATGGACATTATTAAAACATGGAACAAGAAGGTTAACATTGCATTCTCAGCCTCCATCATAACACACAGGCTACACTAGCCCCAAAGAGAAAGCTGTAAGATGCTTTGACGTTTCATAGACAATAAATAACAAAAAAAAAAAAGACATTAGATTTTTTTTGTACTACAGAGGAAATAGAGCAAGGAAAGAACTAAAAGGTACAAGAGTTTTTGGTACTTGGGGCTGTTTTTCTTATTGACTACCCAGTGATTTTTGTTCTGACCTACTCTCTTCCATGGAGACTTTGGGCTCACTGTTCCCAGCACCTATGACAGTGCCTAGAATAAAGCAGGTGCTCAATAAATCTTATGGAACTCAATGGAACCGTCACAGAAACATAAAAAAGCCATTTGTTAGAGTCAATACCCTATCGTCATCACTACCCGACCCCCAAAAAGTACTTCAAGGACTAGGTCCAAATTTTAAGTGATTGTTGCGTGTACACAGAAAAATAAAATGGATTTGCAGAAACCAAAAATGAAGTAAGTTTAACAAGTTGTTGGCAAACCTGACTCACCATCACAAACCTCACACAGCCCTAATAAGGAAGGATTGTCACATAAATCACTGCTCTCCCTGAATTAAAATGAGGATGGTCCCTCTCAATTTAGCACAGTAGAGCAAGCCCTACCTATCTTTCTCTTGTGCCCTTTCAGTTTTGTCATTCCAAAAAAATATTTAAAATCACAATAGTAATGTTTTCATTATAGCAAATGATTAAAAAAGAAAATCGCTTCTAAGTCTATCACCTAGATTTAGTAATATAACGTGAACATTTATGCATTTCCATTTTCCTATGTTTCTATTTTCCCATGCTTACATTGGCTTTTTCTAATGAGAAATACGAAATGCAGCTCAGTAACCTTCTTTCCCCTTAATATATCATGGTTATCTTTCTACCTTATTAAATATTGCACTTAACCCATCCTTTCTTGTAGGAATCATCAAGGAGACAATGTGACTTATTCTCAAGTACCTAAATCCAGTCCTGTTTGCCTTGCCAGTCCTCTCCTTAAAGCCAACACTGCGAGGAAACATGATTAATATCCGCCTCTGAGCTCCCTGCATTCGAAATGCAGCCACTTTGTTTAATTGGATGTTCAACAACCTCCCTTTGCTTTCCCCAAATTCAGCTACTTAAAGCCTAGTTTTAGTTGTGAGCCACACATATTGAAATTGTTCCTCAGAAAGTCTCAAGACACTGGTGTGTGCATTGGAATTTTAGCACCACATCTATTAGGAAATAGTTTTGTCTGAAATTCTGCATTTCAGAGAAGTTAAAAATATGGCAGGAGCTTTAAAGACCACCTTCAGAGTCAATTAGCACCTATAAATAAATGTCTATCTAGTCACTTAGATAAAAGATCCACCTCATGACTATTTACTTTAACAGTGAAGAAACACTACACTGTTGGTGTGAAAAGATAAAAGCACTTGCAGTTCTTAAATATATAAAATTGAGTCCCTTGATATATAATATTTGGTGCAGAAAAATAGTGAATGAGAGTTAATTCACTAGCTCTTTCAGGTAATGAGTTTAGACCAATAGAAAATAACACAGGCAGAATAACCTTTTACATTTTAAGTGGGTTTTATCAAGTCTCAGTGGCAGCATTTTTTTTTCTCTTTACTTTGGGAATATGTTCCAAACTTTAATCGAAGTCTGTAAGGAATATAAATCGATTCCCACATTTGTACTTAATTCATGGCCTTTCAGGGAAGCACATTATGAATAAGAAAGGCTAAGTAAAGTGATTTACATCATGGCTGGAACTACCATTTGTAGAACACCTTCACTGTGCCTGGCATTTTATATACTTCATTTCTAGTCAACTCACCCTACAAAGTTGGCTTATAAATGAGATACCGGAAGCAGAGAAAGTTGAAGTCCCTTACCCTCGGTCACCCACCTAGTGTCAGAGCCAGGATTCAAATCCTGGCTCCAAAGCCAGGGCTCATGGGCCAGACACTGTAGGTAAATCACACTGCTGGGCACCCTGTTCCCATGTGCTGCGGGCACTGAACAAGCCCCCCAGGAGGGTGATCCTGTTGCTAACTGGGGCCAGCACCACCCGCATGCTCATGGGGGAAGGTGCAGCCTCCTAAGCCACATCGCAGGATACATTCTCTGCAGGGGAGAGGGTCCCAAAAAAAGTCTGCCTTCGTGTTTACAAGGAGTAGCTCAGGCTGCACCGTCTGATGGGAGACCCCAACCCCGAAGACAATGATGCCTGACTCTGCACATTACAATCACTTGGAGGGCTTTGGAAAAACACTGATTCCTAGTCTCCAGGAGAGATTCTGACTTGAGTGGTCTCCAGTGGGACCAAAGCACCAAAACTTTTTTTAAATGGTCTAGATGATTCTCACGAACACCCATGGAGTGCCAATGCCCTTGAGGGTGTGGAGGGNAAAACTTTTTTTAAATGGTCTAGATGATTCTCACGAACACCCATGGAGTGCCAATGCCCTTGAGGGTGTGGAGTGTCTGTGTGTGTGTGTGTGTGTGTGTGTGTGCGCGCGCGCGCGCACCTAAACACCTAATACCAGTTCTTTTCCCTTATTACATATACCTGGGAAAATCTGCAGCACTGGAACGGAAAGGCTGGTGGAAAAGACGGCCGGCCCGGCTGCATTACCTGCGTGGTGTCCTCCATGAGCCCCCGGATCTTCTCCACCACGTCGTTGCGCCGGTGCTGGCGCAGCGCGCTGATGAGCTGCGCCAGGCTGGCCTCGGGGCCGCGCACGGTCCAGTGCTGCAGCGCCGCGTACGCGCGCTCGTGGTCCGCGCTGTAGCCGTTGGAGAAGGCGGCCACCTCCCGCTCGCTGGCGTTGCACAGGAACTGGTAGATGTCCTTCCACTGGCTTCCCACCTGCGCGGCCACGAGCTTCAGGATGTCAATGCCTATTCCGGAGACAAAGTAAGCGACAATTATAATAAAAATGAAAACCCGCGAGGGGAGGTCTTTGTAGAAGGCTGCTGTTTTTGAATGAACTAAAAGAAGCGTGCTGACGGCTGCCCGTCGGAGGAATGCATTGCCTCCTGTGAGCACTTGGCACGCGCAGCCCAGCCCCGGGACCGGTGAGGTCCCTCCTGCAAATTCAATTCCTGAATTCAATCCCGACAGTCTAATCAATCGCCCCTAAAAGATGTGTGGAAAGCCAAACACGAACCAATTAATCAGAGTGATTCCTCTGTTACTGCTAAGAACAATAAGAACCAAATGGATTAGAGGCTCCCCGACTAAAAAAGGGGTGGCTTTAAGAAACCTAGAAAAAGATAAGCCACAGATAAAAACTGCAGTGGAGTTTCTCCAGCACTGCCTGGGTAAAGGGTGTTCCGATTCCCGCACGATTCCCGCCAGGGCGTCCATTATGGGAAATGACCATGCACCCAGCTGTTCCAGGCCAGCGGTGGCATCACTTCCTTAAGAACTTCAGGCTTCCCATGCTCTAATTTATGCTCCAGAAGCAATTTTCTGATCTATTCTTTAGTCTCCTAAGCTGACTTGCAGTTATAATGAAGACAACAGCCAAAGTGACACTATAATAACAGTAGCTATTATCTTCCAGGCAGTATATTAAGACTTTAGCTCACTGCACATCTTTATAAAGCATTAACATTCCAATTGCACAGGTAAGGAAAAAAAGAACACAGGAGAGCTATGCAATTTGCCCAGTGTTACAAAGGTGGGTAGGTTGGGTACTGAGCCCCATTTGCTGGCTACTGTTACAAACTGTCCTGTTTTATCAGTCATTTAGAAACTCAGACAATGTGGGGTCTGCAGTCCCCAAATCTGATGAAAATACAGGGTGAAATGCCATAATCAAGTCTCAGAATGTGCAAGCTCAGGATAGTCAGCTGGCACTGACCCTCTGTGAGGTGCAGCTTTCCCTGATAGCATGCTTTGATGTCTTCCTCTTTACAGAAACCTCTCTCTGCAAATACATAACAGCTTTGCCCAAACGTACACACAAGGTGTGTATGTGGCCTCAGTGAGGGCTCCGGTAGTTTACCTAAGAGGTGGGTGAGTTCTCAGAGTCAATACCATGTCTTCCAATGAGGCCACACTCAAGTCTTGATATGAGTTACTATGGTTAACAGTGCCTTTAAAACATTTACTACTCAATAAACAAAATGGGGACACCTTCCCAAGAGAAGCCTAGCGAAGAAAGGAAAAGAGAACAGAGGAGCTTCCCATTATAGTTAACTGACTTTTCCAATTAATTAGATATTAACTAAGATTAAAAAAAATAATTTTTTTGCTCCAAGTAGTTGTTGGGGGAAATATTTATAAATTGAGCTATCAATTCTTCCTTAAGAAAAGAGCAACATTCATTCTAGAAGTTTCTTTGAAAATGGAGGGCTTCGTGGTTCCTCAGTAGCAGTCCTTCCTCTGCCCTGCAATCCTACGGAGGCAGATGGTTTAGAAGACTGCATACACCCCCCGAATCAACCTCCTGAAAATGGTTTTCAGGGGGAAAAAAGTTCTTTGTAGAGGCTGCTTTCTTGTCAACCGTAAAAGTAGAATGCCACAAATTGAGACATTACTGTCCTCCTCACGCTGTTTTCTTTGGCAGTGTAAAATATACTTGAACCGGTTGCCTTTCAGTTTTCATAGCAATGTTTAGCCAGATACACAGCTTTCGATTTCAAGTAAACAGATTCCTCAAAAAAAAAAAACCCGCAGGTAACTGTGAGGAGTAAGGCAGCTCTTTGTGGTTGATGTAGCAGATTGTGCCAAACACCAAAAGGCTTATTAGGCCCTGAATGTTAATTTAGGTCAATTTGACTAAGGTCCACAGTGTCTGACATGAAAACAGGACTGTTTTCTTGCATGTGGGTCTATTGCTTAATCTTCATAATGCCAATGACAGTGTGGCTTTGGGCAAACCACTAACTGTCATGTCCATTTCCTCATCTGTACAATGGAGATAGTCACTATGGTCCCCGGGGATGAGCTGATTAGCATTTTCTATAGAGTTGATTTATTTTTGGAAGTACCCCATCATTATAAATGCTACTAGGCACTATAACTTAAGACTAAATGCATTTCTGATGCAAATACACAGCCTTTATAGAGTAATTACAGAGTTGAAAAGGCTTAAGCTTAATAACAGCTCATTCTACCAAAACCCAGTATTTATACTTTTTTTCAGTCACAAAATAAAGGAAAAAAGAAAAACACAAAGGATAGATACAATGAGATTGTCCTTCAACTAAAATTGCCTGGAAGCTAAATTTAAGGTCCACAAATCAAGTTTTATCATATTCTTTTACTATGAAAACAAGGAGTCAACTCAACGGGAACCAGCCTGGGTCAGCAGCAACCTTCTACACCACTGCCCCCTCGCATTGTGGGGGTCGATAAATCTAAAGCTGCCAGAGACGATGGCTCCCTTTGGGGATACCAGCCCTTTTACCCTGGCGCACGATCACAAAACCTCAGCAGGGGAAGGGAGACCAGTCTGAACTAGCCCTTGAGTTCCATGCACCAAGGAGAAAAGAAAAACCTGGGTATATTTCAGGAGTGTTTATTGGGCAGCCACTGTGAGTTTCTGTGTTTGCTGGCCAGACAGAGGTTGAGCATCGACCTAGGATCCAGGAGATGGAGGCAGCTGATCGAAGACTCTCTCATCATTGATGTTTCTATCTCTCTCTCCCTCTCCCTTCCTCTCTCTGAAATCAATAAAGACTAAAAAAAAAACACAGAGCTTGTCATCAAGAAAATGTAGCAACACCAATGAAACACAAAATTTGATGGGCTTTAAAGTATTCTTTCTTTAGAAAATTTTTACACAAAACTAAATACAACTATAAAGAAAAGCAGTAGGATGATTAAACCAAATTGAGACAGTTACCTCTGGGGGGAGGGAAGGAAATGCTAGTTACCAGGTAGGTGCACAAGAGAGTCAAAGCGATTAACAAGGTTCTTTTTTCTAGGCTGGATGAGAAAATGGGTCTTTTTACTTTTTTACTTTATTTGCTGTTTATTATTCCCTCTAAAACTGTACACATAACACACACATATATAACATGTATTTGTATATAATTTATATACACACATACCATTATGTGGGATATATATAATTTTTTTAGTGTTCAATTTTATTGATAAGGAATCTCATGTAGAAAGGTTATGTCCAGTTCAAGATCACCCAGCTAGTTAGTGGCTCCCTTACTGTGGTGAATAGGGAAGCATTATTATTCACTGGGATTAGTTCCTAGAGATGGTCACCTAGTCCATGTACAAGTGCACTCAGGGTTGGCCATGGTGTGTGTGCTTCTCCCTGGCCTGTTATTACGGACCAAGCAGATGCTGGGAAAGTTTTCTTTGGGGCTAGCATGTATATTTCTTTTCTTTAAAACTATAGTACCCTAAAAGAAGAAGTCAGTACACTTTTTCTGTAAAGGGCTACAGTAAATATTTTAGGCTTGAGAACCATTATGATCTCTGCAACAACTCAGCTGTTAATGAGAAAACAGCCCTAGACAATACAAACTAGTGTGGCTGTGTTCTAATTAAAATTTAATTTACAAAAAATTAGTTGTGGCCCCTGAAACTATAGCAGTTTAAAGAGACCTAGGCTATCAAATGGCGTTATGGATTTAGGAAAGCATTGTTAGAAGAAAACAGGCACACACGCACACACACACACACAAATAACCCAATGAACGTTTCCACCCCAATTATTAACCTCAATGTGAAATGATAGTAAATGAAATAGAGACCAGCTCTCTGCTTGGTCATCTGTCCCATCAGAGTTCTAGGAGTTTTCATCGAGATGGGAGACAATCACCATGTGTTGAACTGACCTGAATTGTTTAACTAAATGTGATGCCAAGTCTCTTTTTTCTTGGGTTGAAAAGCAAAACAACCTTCAACCCACTGAAATGCTGGGAGACAGAGGCATGGAGCTTAACGTCACTTTTTCTTTGTCAGGTCCCAGAGCTCTGGGAATGACTGAAGTTTCTAAACAAGTCATCAGGAGCCAAGGCCTATAAACCAGAATCTGTACTTTGCCAGGAGTGATATATGCTCAGGTGGCCCTGGCCATGGGTAAATGGCTTGTAAAATTTAAGATGCAAGTAGTGGAAAGATTGGGAACTTTGCCATCACAAGATACGGTTTCAAACTCCATGACCTTGGACAAATGACAACCTCTGAGATTTCAGTGTCCACATCGGTAACTTGAAAATACTACCTCTAACCTCATAGGGTGGGCGAGGATATTTATGGAATCAAGTATTAAAACCGCCAAGCACAGCACTTCGGTGCACACTGGCTCTCCTCCTCCTGGCCCAACCCTTTCTGCATGGACAAGTATCACTGGGCAATGCACCTAAAAGGCGGGAGGAGTTCTACACAGACAAAGGTTTTAACACCAGGGTCACAGGTGCTATACAATGAAGCCAAGCACCAGAATCCCGGCTTCTTGGGCTTTTCAGAACCTCACTGATACGAGTTAGAAGGGGAGCCACTGCCCGAGAGGGGTGTCATCCGCAGAAAGGCAAATTCAAAAGGCAAAAATGCTGCTGCTGCTGGTGCCCCTGCCCGGGCCCACCACGAGGAAGAGGGCATTAGGTGGTCAACTGGGTAATTACCAAAAAAATGGCATTTTCCAGTACATCGTAAAACCCCGAATGAGAGACTATCTGGGTGACAACCCTAATTTGAGGCTCCTTCCTTTTTAAGCTCAATGTGAGCTACGGTATGGAAAAGAAGGTTCCTCCTCTTTTTATAGAAACCTGAATGGACTTTTATAGTCAGAGAAGGTATTAAAGCTCTTTCCTTTTGGAGATAAATATCTACAACGAGTGCCATCATTAAGAGCCCCTATTAAAGCCATCCCGGGACGGGATAGGAAGGATGGTGCTGCCAGAGGCAGAGGGAACAAAGGCCA